TAAAACTGTAATAGCAATATGTTTTAAATGTAAAAAAATTATATAGGACATTGATAAAGCTAGAAATGTAGATATTAAAGAAGCACATGGCAGCCATCTTGAAAAATGGCGGCCTTTACTCGTTATTTTACGATTTTTGCTGTAACTCAAGAAGTAGTGGAGCGATTTTGTTCATATTTGGTATGTGAATACTACAAGCATGGCTCACTGTCTAATGACACTTTTGGTAGGAGGCGGCCATTTTGAAAAATGGCCACCATTTTGAAAAATGGCCGCCATTTTAACATATTTTACTATAACTCAAACAGTAGTGGAGCGATTTTGTTCATATTTGGTTTGTGAATATTATAAGCATGGCACACTGTCTAATAACACTTTTGGTAGAAGGCGGCCATTTTGAAAAATGGCCGCCATTGTAACATATTTTACTTTAACTCGAAAAGTAGTGGAGCGATTTTGTTCATATTTGGTATGTGAATAATATAAGCATGGCACACTGTCTAATGACACTTTTGGTAGAAGGTGGCCATTTTGAAAAATGGCTGCCATTTTAACGTATTTTACTATAACTTGAAAAGTGGTGGAGCGATTTTGTTCATATTTGGTATGTGAATATTATAAGCATGGTACACTGTCTAATGACACTTTTGGTAGAAGGTGACCATTTTGAAAAATGGCCGCCATTTAAACATATTTTACTCGGCCTTTACTTGTTATTTTACAATTTTTGCTGTAACTTGAAAAGTAGTGGAGCGATTTTGTTCATATTTGGTATGTTAATACTATAATCATGGCACACTGTCTAATGACACTTTTGGTAGAAGGCGGCCATTTTGAAAAATGGCCACCATTTTAAAGTATTTTACTATAACTCGAAAAGTAGTGGAGCGATTTTGTTCATATTTGGTTGTGAATGCTAGAAAAAAAAGCATGTTACTTCTGATGACAACTTGGCTAGTGAGCAACCATTTTGAAAATGGTGGCCTTATGTGTGTTATTTTATGATATTTGCTATATATTTCGTTTGCCAGCCAGCCATTTCTGTTCGATGGGATTCGCTACGCTTTGGCGTTGCCGTTGTTCTGGTTTACATTCTAGAGTCGAAAACAATTGAAAAATGATTACCTTTGAATTGCAAAGTTGTGAACTGTAGACAAATGGTTCTTGTTGGTGGTATATTATTAAGAAAGTATACAAATTTCTCACTATTTTGGTATATGATATAAGCCCATGGAAGATAGCCATATGGTATAATTGATTAATTTTTTGATCTTCAATTTGATTCATAGTGCAGATATCAGATTAGGCCAGTTGGTCCAATAGGGCTTATTAGATATTTTCATTATCAGTATTGCACTCATATTCATAATATATCTAGGATGCTGGTCAAAACAAGAACAGTGTTAACACAAAAAGTGAAGATGATTTAAGTTAATATACATGAATCTTCCAATTAATGTTCTAAGACTGATGTTGTCTTTGGTTATACACCATTCAAAGGTTTGTGTGAGACTCCCACAAAAGAAAGGGTGAGGATTTTGACAAAATAAAAAATCAGCTGTCAAATTCCTCGCCCTGGGAATATGCATTTTAAAAGTTCTTATGTCAAAATCCCGCCCTGTGGGACAATACTCTACAGGATTTATTACCCTACCTTAGCATCTTGCCTTAGCTATGATACCACCAAGCAAACACACAGTATCAGGAGGTCTTGCAGGGGCGGATCCAGGAACCAACAAGGGGGGGGGCCCAAATTTCTGGTCAGAGGAAAAAACATCCGCGCTTACGTGGAAAAAAATTTTGGGCCCCTAAAATACAAAAGTGGGCCCAAATTTTGAAATTTTGAGGCCCATTTTCTTCAAAATTTGGCCTGAAATTAAAAAATAAGGCCTTCAAAGGCCCAGTAATGACCAAAAAGACCCACTTTTTGGGGCCTGAAGGCCTTGTTTGGCCCAAAAATTTTTTTGGGCCCAATTTTTTTTTTCTGGGCCCACCCAAGGGGGGGAGGGCCCGGGCCCCCAGGTCCCCCCCCCTAATCCGCCAGTGTCTTGTTAGTACCTGTAAAGATGGTCATGATGACAACAATATGTACTTTTAGACAAATATCTGAACTCATATTCATAATATACGTATTTAGGATGCTGGTCAAAACAAGAACACTGTTACCAAACAAAAGGTATAGATAATTTATGTTGATACACATGAATCTTCCAATTAATGTTCTAAGACTGATGTTGTCTTTTGGTTATATACCATTCAAAGGTTTGTGTGAGACTCCCACAAAAGAAAGGGTGAGGATTTTGACAAAATAAAAATCAGCTGTCAAATTCCTCGCCCTGGGAATATGCATTTTAAAAGTTCTTATGTCAAAATCCGACCCTGTGGGACAATACTCTACAGGATTTGCTACCTTACCTTAGCATCTTGCCTTAGCAATGATACCACCAAGCAAACACACAGTATCAGGAGGTCTTGGTAGTACCTGTAAAGATGGTCATGATGACAACAATATGTACTTTTATACAAATATCTGAACTAGTACTATAGTACAAATAAATAGAGATCCTGCTGTTTATATATGAAGCATCTGTTGGTCAAGGTGTACAGACAACCCTGTTTTACAAATGCCAAAGCCAAGTCAATAAACAACAGGCCCTCCATTCTTTACTTTTGTCAGTGAGATGTTTTCACTAGGACCAGATTGAAGTGACCACTGCTTGAGAATGTTTGCTTTGGAATTGAACACCTGATCTTCGTTGTCTGTGCCCTTCCATAAGTTATCATAATTACTTCCTATTAATTTACACCTGGGTTTTATATATACTATATTATCTCTTTTGTTTAAAACTGAAAGAGTTGAATAGCGACCAGGCTTGGGGTCAAATATGGATTTGGATTTAGTTGTTCAAATCATTCTTATAATAACATTTGATATTTCCTCTTCAAATTGCAGTGTTGGTGTTATGAGTCATGTTCATCTTCTTCAAGATCTAAATCTCTCCAGATTATTCCTTGACCAGGAAATCCCTTAGGCTCATAGTGTTATTTGGAGGACCAGTGATCCTCTGTGAAGCATGTGTGGTACTCTTTTGCAATTGATTGATTTCATTACTTTAAACAAGAGTTCATCTGCAGAAATTATTTCTTGCCTTTGGAGCTCAAAGTACATGTGGGGTGTAATCCAGTAATCCTTTACTCTGGAGGAACAGAAGAAGCCACAGATAGAGTAGATAATGTCTGGATAATGCCCTGTCTTGCAGAGAATGCTATCAAGACCCTGTTCATTTTGTTATGTCTTCAGAATGACAGGTGCCTTTTGTTTAGATAGATGTGTTGTTCCATCCCTTCACCATTGTTTCACATGGTCAGGGACTTACAATATATGCTTAATCTTGCTATTGCAAATGGGTCAATGTAACATTAAAGTATTGCCAAAACTACATTATTGAACTGTTGCAGCAGTAGAAGGAGCAGTAGCCAACTAGGCTACCCCATCTTTAGATTTTACATTCTTATACTCTACAGATTGCTCTTGTGTATATACTCTTGTATGCCAATTAATTTGATGCCAGTCCCATCCCATTGTAAAAGCAAATGGAAATAAGGCATTCCCTAAAGGCAATAATCAGTCACAGAATACTACTGAGAATTTCTTTGAATTGTTAGACTTCCTGAAACAATACATCATCTTATCTTAAAACAGCGATTACAGTAATTGAATTCTGGCTAATATTTTAATGAAATTGTTTTCAAGATTTGTGTGCCAAGTTTGAGTTTGTATTAAGTGCCACAAAGAGAATGAGATCTCGTTCAAAGAAATGTATAGAACTTGGTATCGTCAGAGACAAATCATTTTTAGAGGTTGATGGACAGATTCTAGTTTGCGTCCAAATTGTAGATGCCATGCAGTCAATATTATACCAGACATATACACATGTACATGTCCCACATTATCTATTTCCTTGCTCTGCATATATTGAACGGGGTACACAAGGGATTAATACAAGACTATTGGCCGTTTCTCCAGTGTGGTTCCCCTTTACTAGGTAATATATCACAGCTGGCTAAGGGCAGGACAGGTACTATTAAACATAGGAGCTGAGAGGTAGACAGGCTGAAAATAAATTGCCATTAACCCAGGTAATTTATGGCATTAATGATGCTCCTTGCTCTTCTATGTGTGTTGTGGTTATACCTGGTGTAAAATAGAACTTTGATCATGTTTATTACATGTCTATTCTCAACAATAACCTCACTGACAATTTGAAATGTTTTTTGAATTCAGATTTGATGATATTTCAACATGTTTGTTCCTTCTTCCTTTGAATTTTTTTGTATTTATTTACTTAACCATAATTACTGTGACTTTTTTCATGAGTAAAAACACATGTTATAAAAAAGAAAACACTCCAAAGTAGCTTGTATAGTAAAAGGCCAACAAACATTTCCGATTCAAAGTTTGTGTACATATACTATGTTACTGCTAGTGTAAGTAGGTTGGTTTGATAAAGCAGCTTTCGTTTTCTTTAGAAAATGTCACACTTTGTTGTATGTTCAATTACATCAGAAGGTACTATGTATTCTAACATAGTTCTGAGGTAGTTTGGGATCATGATCATATGTAGAGGTAGGATATTCAGTTGAAGCGTTAAGTTAGACTAATGTCATGGGGCACCAGTTTCTTATAGCAGGAAAAACATGTAATAAGGCATTAACCAGATATTTTGTTTTAAGTGCCCCTTTAAGTGTTTCATGTTCTGTTAATTAAATTCCGACATGGAAAATTTTTATTTTAGATTTATTTTGCCATATGGTTTTGAATTGCTGTCAACAGTTCAAGTTCAGGGGTCACCCCAGGTTGTTGGTACATGAAAGTGTCTATGATAAAAATATATATGTGCATAAAAAATAGATTCATCATTATGACCTTTGATTTGTGATTTGCATACTAACATTCACTCATCATATAAATAAAAAAATGTTGTTTTTTTACTTGCAGTTACAAAAGCAGTAGAAGTTTAAAGTATTTGGATTAACCTTTATACAATGTGAGGGGGGTAAACACTGCAGGCTTTATCAGGAAATTATCAAAAACTAGGTAAGTTGGGAAACCTTATATGACCTTGATATGATAATACAAATTCCTGAAAAAGTAGATTACAAATGTACATTCATAAGAACTGGTTCAAAAGACCCTGGCCTATATCAGCTTGGTATTCTTCCCTCTGAATAATATCATGATTTTACAGTTTTCATACTGATATCATCTCGGATATAGCTTTTATTATCATGATAATGGTTGCTCGTTATGAAATGAATGTTAGCTACTTATAAAGTATAGTTTGAAGAGATTGGTCACCCATGTCTTTTACAGACAGGTCTTTGAAAGAGAAACTGGTGGTATCAGGAACTATAGGGAAGATGAGTCATTATGTTTATTCAGAACAATTCTGTACCTCTGACCTTTGTTCCTGTTTCCTCAAAAGAAGTTTAACTTAGCGCAGATGTTCTTTGAATAATTTTTTGTGTGTTTTTGTCATACAATAGTTAGATGCTGATGACATCACCACAAAGAGGTTTCTCAAAATAGGAAACTCCAGGGAAATGAAGTAAAAGTAAATGATTACGCTACAGAACAACATGAAGTCAACTGCATGTAATATAATGACGGAAATGCCAAAAATCAAAAAATCTCTATTCTCATAACATTTTCCGATAAAAACTAAATACTTTGTAACCTTAGCACTTTTTGACTTGCAATGTAAATTACATATTAGATCTCATAGACTATGTACCAGATTATATAGTATATTTAAAGTGTTTAGGCATAGTAACATTCATTCAGCCTATACACAGTCTTAAATTTTTAGCATACAAAGAGGCAAAAATGCAGTTTATTCTACTCTGAACAAAAAGTCCTTGAATCGTTTTAGATTTTATGAAATATAATGTTTGTAATTTTGAATATCCATCTAGAGTTTTGATTATATATGATTATGTTTGCATGACCTATTCAGCATTTCCAACCTTTTTGGAGATCAATAGGTTATCCTGCTCTATGGCAAATTCAGGTCAAAAAAATACTACCATTGACATTTTCAAATATTTGTATTTTTTTTATAATTAATGTATATTCATTATATGTTCAACATGTATATTGTACTCTAGGTAATGACAATAAAGCATTAAACGTTTTGCGGGCATACATGTTCTTGAGACAGTTAAACACCCAATCCCAACAGTTAATGTGCCAAATTATAAACCTATAGCTAAAGGCGCCAATTCATTATTTTGGACAGGTCTCTTTGTTACAGGCCTTTCACCTGAAAATGTGATTTGAAATATAATATCATGGAAAGTTTTATTCTATTGTTCTTTTCACTTTGTATTCAATTAGAATAACAGTATTACACATCTGCATGTTGCCCTTGAAATTGTGTTATCAATTCAGAAATGCTAACTTTGTATTTTATCGTATAAACACAGATGTTTTCTTTAACAAATCTGCATTAGAGTAATGCAGGTGTCTTGAAAAATGTACAAATGATATTTTGTTCTGTTTTTAGTAAATACCTGTGTATTTTTTCGCAAGTGATATTCTATAAAGCTCCACCAATGTTTGATGTCAATAACCAATGAATACATTTCAACTCATGTGACCTTGATTTGACCAATCATAAAACATAAGCTTGATAGTGATATGATTATTAATACCATATATTTGGCAAACTATGTATTTTGCAAATTAACTTGTATATATATTATTTTAAACTAACATTGGAAAGTACTGTTTGGCTTTAGTTTATAACTTTTGTTTAAAATCTTGTCTTCATTATGTAATATCATAATAAATACTCAGTCAAAATCATCAAATTGTCCATAAGATTATTGGCATTTGCTCCAAGTCGAGATATCTTACCACATATAAAAATGTATATAGAAGATAGTCTGGCTTTTGTAAATTTATTTGATGGATTTATACCAATGAGTTTGTTCAATGATGGGGACACTTTTCTGTTGGACTGTAAGTAGAGTTTTGCTTAAAAAGTAAACATTTCACATTTCTTAAAAAATGAATTAAAACAATAAATGGAGTGTTATTCTGATAGGTATAGGAATGATAGTTCAGAATGTTGACTAGGTTTGCCAAATCATAGCAAACACATTGGTGAAAAGATGCAGGGATATATGCCTTTTTTAAATATTTTCCGAAAATTTAATCAAAAGTAGTCATTCTGCCATTCAATGAAAATGACAAAACAATTTGTAAACTATGTGAAACACTACTATATCAAGCATAATTGTTTATTTCACATTTTTCTGAAAGAGGTCCTAATTTTGTAGACTGGTTCCGATTCAGAAGTGTTCTGAACCAGTTTTGACACAGCCTTAATCTGCAGCCAGTAGTAGGATTACAATTTTTCATTTTAATAAAATGGTCAGTTATTTATTCAATTATTAATTCATAAAAATGGCTTCTCAATGCTAGCCAATTTGGCCTTGTCCAGACTAAAATTTATCTAATCATATCGTCAAAAACATGGATTTGTTACTTGTATGTGGGCTGTTGGCACAGATAATTTTGACACTTTCATCTTGTAACTGTCTGTGTACTGAAATATAAATTCACTCTTGGTTTGCCAATCCTCTGAATGTTAAAGTCAGCTATGGAATAAAAATTAAACTTTATGTTTGTTTCCTTTATTCTTTGGCATTTCATTTTGTCTGCTGCCAATATTATAGAATAAAATCATGGTTTGGTTAAGATTTATTCATTGGCTTTAGTTGTTCATCCTTGCGGTTTTTACTTTGACCACTCCTCTTCGATAAAAACTTCACATTTTTCATATGCTCCTTGCCAAGAATTTGTGATTAATCATTTCATTTGTGTTTTTTTTATTCAAAGCTACAGTTCTTTTATTGAAATACATCAACTGATGTAGCACAGTCAAAAGTCGACTCTGCGTGCTGTGATTATTTATAATGGTAAATCACTTGAATAATCATGCCAAACGTCTGTGTGCTTACAAGGGATATCTTAAGTGACTGAAGTTTAATAGTTTTTAGGTGTTACTTAGTCTTGGAGTTTGTTTTTGGCAGGATGCAATGTTTTTGCTCCAGAGGAGCAGTTTTCGGAGAGGTTGTTAATATTTTATTTATTTATTTATTTTGTGACGCTTTTGTATGATATATTACTGTATGTGTCATAATAGTATTTATTTTGTCTCTTGCCTAAAAATAAACAAAAAACACATGATTCAGAAGAATTTTCTTCTTGTAGTCATTCTATCATACGGTTTATGGTGAAATAACATCTGAAAATGGAAGAATACAATGGATTAAACAAGGATTTCTGGGCAAGGGAAAATTTTAGAAAACGACTACAGAAAAGCTACGAGAATCTAAAACAAGCGCATGTACCATTTCGAGATAATGTAACAAGATTCAACTTTTTTCAGGTTGCCATGACGGCACCAAAGCCGTTGCAGGAGTTCTTGGAGGACGCAGAACTCGGGCATTATTATGACGCCCTATCAAATCAGTTGAAGATACATTCTGTGCCACAATTGAAGTATGTGGAGGATGATGAGCTCATTGACATGGGTAGGTACTAGACTTTCTAGTTTGACATTCATTACATTTTTCCGCTCATTGAGACATGATTTTCAGACTGATACTATCCGAAGGTGGTCTAGCAAACCTCATTTACATAAATGAAAAACAAGGACTTGGCATGCACTGAATATTAACATTAAAGGTTAAAAGGGTCTGAATAAGACTAGTACTCTTGCATCAAGTCCTTGTGACCCCCTCCCTCTATACTGTATAACCCATATTCTCAACAAAACTGGAGGTGAAGTAGAGAAGGGGGTTGATTCAAGACCAGTCTACCTTGCATGCCTTACAGATATTTGACGTATTAGGAATATAGAACCCTTACTTCACCTTCAGGGTCTGAGGATCTCCTAGCTTAATCTATAAACCGGGGATTCTCTTTTTTTATTAGTGTAGTCTGCATGTTATCTGACCACATCTGAAGTGGGACTATTTCCAATCATGCCCATCTTCTATAAAAACAACAGGGAATTCTATCATGAGATAGAGGACCTGAAGCGAGAGACAACAAGTTCCTATCTAAGTACAATAGTTTCAGGCTATAGAGACCTCAAGTCAATCAAGACATATTACTTACACATGTCTTATGTTCAGTAGTGAAACTTATCTTGAAAAATATGATGATATTTAATACTTGAGACGTGTTAAACACATTTTTAAATGGTCTTTGTTAACTTCCACCCTTTCTGTATACTCCATGATGTTTGAATTTGAATGGGCAGATAGACCTAGCATCTTTTACACAGCTGTATGTCTTGCTTAAAACACTTGTCTCTTAAGAAGACAGGGTAGGCTGGGTGCATGGGTAATAGCTGCAGCTAGTGACTGAATCTCTTCATTCTATAGATTATTATTATCTGACCAGGTGAAGGTTTAGCAGTTGTAGGGCTTGAATGTTGAAGACTCTGGACCTTGAGACCGCATCAGTATTGCTGATGGTACAGTCAACCCTCGTTGCCTTTCTTGGGAAATACCTGTAGGGATGGTGTTCTGAAACATACTATATTATAATTACACTTGTAGAAGTGTGTCATCATTTAACACATCATTTACTATGGAATGAGCGAATAAATCAGGAAATAAACTAAAGGAGTCATCTTTCTTGTCATGGTATAAACATCAACTTTCTTGTCATGACATATTTTCTTACTATGGCCTTAAATGACCTGTTCAATATAAAGGAAGATGCCTTCAGTGTTATTCACAGTTTCTTCAGGAGATAATTTCTGACATTTTTATCAGTATCAGTTACTGTTATATCATTTTGACTGATTTTCATAAGGATTTTAAAGAGTCCAGATGCCAGATCGAAAGTGGGATTCAAGGGTTCAGTGCTTTGATCATCAACCTGGTATGCCTTTCATTCTTTCCTTGCACACTGCTACATACAGGCCCTGTATAATGCTTGCCAAAGTGACATATTCTTTTTGCCCAAATCCCTCTGGGTGCTCATCTCATCTCTATGTATCTTTGTGATCAGTTTTTTTCTGCAAAAGAAAGAGGATATGAGAGGGCCTAGGGATGTTGCAAAGTGGGCCTAAAACTGCTGTAGGTAAGATAAGTCAAATAAGGCAGAGAAATGTATCATGATCCAGATAAAACAAAAATTAGGTAGATCCAAACTCTAGGCTCATATTATCATCTTATCAGCACATAATTAATTAGAGAAACAATTGTTTATTCTTCCTGATAACCCAAATATTCCCATAAATAAGATGATACACTGTCATGTTCTTAAAAATAAAATGAATAAGAAGATATTGGGCATGCACAAGGAGGGTCATTAGAATCTTTGACAACAAGTAAAATTAATTTTAACAACTGATAAAATTATAACAAATTTTAAGTTAACATGGACATGGATACCAATGCAAAATTTCTTAAAATAACAGTTACTTTGGTAAAATCAACTGGAGAAACTTGCTTGCTGCTAATTAAACCATTGTACTTACTAACTAAAATACGAAATTTATAGCAGAATGATATTTCCCCTCAATACAATGATTGAATTATGTCATGAAATAGTTAACAGAGCAGAGAAACATTTCAATCAAGGAATAGAATGGCAAGTGTATTTGTAAATAATTCAGGATAAAAACTAGGTTCATTAATCCCTGGAATTAATCGTGATAACAATGCTTGTTTATAACTTTATCAGAAGGAATGAGGTACAGAAAAACCTGTTTTATCTGAATGCCTCTCGGACAGGACAAAAGTAGGTCGATGAGAAATAACAAAATTTGGACCTTATAGTGTGTATATTGAGAGGGGTTCAGATTAGAGAAGTGTTCAGATATACAGGTTTCACTGTAGTTCTAATTTATTCCAAGTTGTTATATAACTGTAAGTTAGCATTCTTGATAAAATTGTTTATATACTTCACCTGGTAATTATACTCTGTATACAGGATTACTTTTTATGATCTGTTTATTCCTGATTAGATTCATGAAACTCGAAGTACAAACCAACAAAATGGCTTACAGATTGGGAGGATTTTGATTTGATTATTCCGAGTATATTTATGTAACTATAGAGATTTTAATAGTGTTAAAGGTCAGCATTCTTATCATGTCATTCACCCATAACCATTTAGCTCAAACCATTTAATGGCAAGTTCTATTAAATATCACTAAAAAGTAAGAAATTGGAGGCTGGAAATGTGAAATGGAATCTTTTAGGTCAGAAAATGTAAATAAACAAAAGTATTTGTGGCCCAAATGTTATAGATAACATTCCTGTGGTGCTAGAGGGGGAGTGCCTCCAACCAGCTTCATATGATTGTTTTCTTTCATGCTCTTCTGTTTTTATGTCACTACCAGAAGTGATGTTATAATCTGAAATTTTGGTGGTTGTGATCAGAATCTGTAACAAATGTCAGGTGGTGACATTTTTGCATGTTCATGCCTAGTATAATCAGATACTTTGATATGTGTCAGTATATAATTATGATGAGGTATATGCCTCAGGCCCGTAGCCAGGATTTGCCAAGGGGGGTCACTTTTTGAAAAATTCCAAGGGGGTTCACTTGTGACAAATTTGGTCCAAAAATGGCCAAAATCACTTAAAAAGTGCTCAGAATGGTGAAAACTGCATGATTTTGAAAGATTATTTGGCCAGGGGGAACCCATCAAACCCCCCCCCCCCCTTGCTACGGGCCTGTGCCTCCCCTCTATTAATGAAGTGAGAACTTTGACAGGTCTTGCCCCTTGAATTGGTATGTTTAAGGATTCTCCCAATAAGGATATTATAGAATGAGGTGAATGAGATGTATTATATCAGGATGTTCACTCAAAATTCTTGTGGTGGAGAACCAGATTGGCCGCATTTCAAAATTGATTACTTTCAACCATTTTTTTGTTGATTGCCTTACTCTTTTACTTAGCAGTACTTACATTATACTTGAGACACATCTGTCAGTACATTGGTATGTATACTCAACAGGGACTTCATTTGTGTCTTTGGATGCAAGATCCATAGAGGCATGCACAACAAGAATTCCAGGTTAAAGAAACTAAAAAAAATGTAATTTGAAGTGGTGCAATCATGAACTCTTATCCTTAAGTTTAAATGAATTAATAAAATTAGCGTTTTCAAAGTTGCTTGTGTGTAAACTTGAGTAGTTATCATGCTGTTTATTTTAATGCATTGGTACATGCATTGATTATGAATTCTTTGATTTTGAAAAAATTGATTTTATTTTAGGATTGTGTAATAGGTTAAGTCTCACTACTTTGTATATTGTGAGTTATGTCCCTTGTACATTCTTATTTTCCCATATTGGACCTGAGCCCCATTGGATGACAGGGATCAAGATGAGGAAATATTAGACTATTTTTATTAATGTTTTCTTACAATCACAATAGCTACATATGCCATACTGTAAACATATAATGTATTTTATGTACCTCCATTCTCTCTAACACTGCCTGGGATTTTTGGAGGGGATGGGGGTTACAGAGACTTTGTGTGAGGCTGAAGCAGAAGACAGTTGTAAGCAGAAATAAGTAGTTAAGCAATCATTGTATAGTTAGACTGATTACGAAATATAAGAAAATAATCTTTAGTGACAGGGAACCCCAATTTTTCATGATGGTATAAATGTTTTCTAAGGATGTGAACAAATAACATTTATCTAAAAGTGAAGAGTGTACCTTGCCTTACGTGAGATTAGCAAAATTAATGGGTGGGAAAGTATTTTTCTCCACTTATTTCTAACAAATCATCAAATTGCAATCTTACATCTTCCCTGATGTACAGAATCATCTCAGAATGTCAGAGTGAACGCCATTCTTCACATGAATTCAGGTATATTGACATTTCTCTAGAGGGGCACTATGAACAGTGAAACATTTAAGACACTGTCGAGAATGAAAGCCATGTCAAAGATTTGATTTTTCATATTGTAGGTAGTATTTAAGTATTTAACATTTCCCTCAGAATTAACATCATGGTCAATATCAATTCACATTTTTGTCAATATAATTATATAAGATTTTGAGACTTGCAGTACTTCTCATATTCTTGATATTAAATTATATAGGGGAAATTTCTCAAATATGATTTATTTAAGTTCTATATCAATGATATATTCCTATTTCTGTGAGAAGCATCTTAACCTCAAATCTCAGGAGGTTGTCTGGACCAAGTGAAGATCAATAATGAATGAAAATAAGTCTCACTTTTTATTACTGTATTGCAGTGTGAAATATAAATCTACTTATGTAGACCTTGAGTTGAAACTGATAATGCAGTATATACCTTTGGAGATAGATAGGGCAAACCTGAAAGTTGACCTGGATTTGAGCAAACAAATGGAAAAATTACCTGATTTAAAAAAAATTAAGGCCCACAGTCTAAAAATTTCTTATTTGTATCAAGCAACTGGGACGATTTTGAAACCTTTATCTCATCCCATCACCTGGAATTGGCATCCTTTCATAGTTGAGTATATTCATCCTAGCTATCATGTGATATTTGTATATTCAGTA